TTAATTTAGGGGACTAGCGCCCATCGCGAGATCTCTGCGATGGCATTGCCCGCCTGGCACCCAACACAAGCCGCTCTCGGGTTGTGTCCTTTCAGGCTATGGGTTTGTGGAATTTCTCAGCGAGGAGGATGCTGACTACGCCATCAAGATCATGAACATGATCAAGCTCTACGGGAAGCCGATCCGGGTCAACAAGGCCTCGGCCCACAACAAGAACCTGGATGTGGGCGCCAACATCTTCATTGGCAACCTGGATCCGGAGATTGATGAGAAGCTGCTGTACGACACGTTCAGCGCCTTTGGGGTCATCCTGCAGACTCCCAAGATCATGCGTGACCCTGACACGGGCAACTCCAAGGGCTACGCTTTCATCAACTTTGCCAGCTTCGACGCCTCAGACGCTGCCATTGAGGCCATGAATGGACAGTATCTGTGCAACCGCCCCATCACCGTCTCCTACGCCTTCAAGAAGGATTCTAAGGGCGAAAGGCACGGCTCAGCTGCTGAGCGCCTCCTGGCTGCACAGAACCCCCTCTCCCAGGCCGACCGGCCACATCAGCTGTTTGCAGACGCTCCACCCCCACCCTCAGTGCCCACCCCAGTGGTTACCACCTTGGGACCAGGGGTTACTCCTCCAGGTACACCAGTGCTGGGGCTGGGGTAGCTTCTCAGTTCTGGTCTCTTTCTGCCCCTTGCCTTCCAAGGCTCATTTCTTCTCAGGGCTTGAGTTCTTAATGTCCGGAAGCTTTGGCAAGCGGCTCAGCAACCAGCAGGTTGTTGGGTGCTTTTTCCAATATTCCAAGGTCTCGTGTGATTATCATTTTAGGCATCCCTCCACCTGGATCATTCCCTCCGCCAGTGCCCCCTCCAGGAGCTTTGCCGCCAGGATTGCCTCCAGCCATGCCACCTCCACCCATGCCACCAGGGGCTGGTGCCCCAGGACCTCCTTCCACTGGAGCGCCAGGGGGGGCGCACCCTCCCCACCCACATCCTTTCCCTCCTGGTGGGATGCATCCAGGTATGTTCTGTGATTTGGGCACCTCCTTCCTTCTCACCGGAGGACCAGCTCCACCTTTGTCACTGTGCAGAAGGCTGCAGGGAAGTTTGTCCTCAGTTGCCACAAATAAAGGAGAGAAGGAGGCTGGGAGGAACTTATGGAAAAGGAGTAGCAGAGGCAGCTGTGTTGGGAATAGTGGGATCCACCAGTGACCCCTGTAAGCCAGCTGTACAGGATGTGAGTGAGGTCTTCCTAACGCAAACTGCCAGTCTTTCTTTAGAACTCTGTGAATGCATGCATAAGAAATCCCTGCCTTTGGTTGCCTTCCCAGGAATGCCACAAATGCAGGTCCATCATGGAATGCCCGGGATGGGCCCACATCACCCTGGACCCCCAGGAGCAGGGGGGCAGCCGCCACCCCGCCCGCCCCCAGGCATGCCCCATCCTGGCCCACCCCCTATGGGCATGCCGCCCAGGGGACCTCAGTTTGGATCACCAATGGGT